AATATCTACTCTGGTGGAGGTCGATATGCTGTGGTTAACGACTAACATCAAGTAAAGTGGAATGATCGTAGACACTTATCCGTCTTTTCCAACAGAAGCGGTCGTTCCATTACTGAGGACCCCGCGCCCATTAGCTAGTATTAGCTAATGTACGTATCTCGATGAAGTTGCTGTCAGAACTGTCCTTTATATAGACTGCACATGCCTGAATTTTTATTCCTGGGGTTGAACTGATAAGGGTGATTTAGTCTAGTCTTATCTCGTTATTCGGCGGGTTCAAAGGTAGCTCTGAACTGCAACTAAAACAGATTGATTCAAACTTGGGCAATTAACTGTTGTTCATTTTCATTTGCCATCAGACGCGACGTCTTTTCGGAAATTTCCTTACGGGCCTGCTCCAACAAGTATACATATTAGCAATACTTGATGACGCTAAATCATCTTCATCACATAACTTGTTAGCGGCTCAATATTTATTTCCCAGGTGCTTTGCTTTGTTTACTCTCGCTCACAACGGATTAAAATTTCGGCGGGCCTTATGTGGAAGAAACCTATTCCGCGTCCCAGAGTTGTTTAACTTAACTTGTTCTTTAAATTGATGTTCGTCTCTAACAACTAAATACAACATAGTGCAGCACCACAGTATCTACAATATTCGTTATTTATTATTGGGAACTATCCTGCTTTTCGTGAGCCATGGGCAATCTATAAAATCTGCTTATTTAACAAAATTTCAAGTTTGTCCTTGCCCCACGGTTGTGTTATATTTTTATGTTGCTTACGTTTTTTTTAACTCAAATTTTGCTTTTGGCGGATAATACTGCTAAGAGGACTGTTGAACTTTCATTGATCAATACTACCACTCTTTGTCACAACAATAAACTGGCAAATGCCCAATCAGTGAGAAACACGTTTTTACTGTTTTCCTGACATAACACGTTATCAACAAAAGTTTTTTTTTTTTAAAAAATCATTAATTGATTTAGTGTTTATATCTCAAAAAAAAAAAAAAAAAA